CCATATGGTTATTAATGTCCTCTCGAAAATGTTGATCCTTTACCAGTATTATGACAATAAAGGGCTACTTTAAAAATTCACTCACCATTAATCATTATGTTCGTGATACAGATAATATAAGCAAGAGTTGTGCTTCTATTATTAAAACAGGATGAAGTCTTTAATGACATTTATGAAAGAAATACTAAAATTCAAGTGAACTGGTCAATAGAATTATAATTATGATAAGATATAAATTGGAAAATTTAATTAATTGGATTTATTGATTTGTTGGAATAACAATAAAATGTTGATGTTATATTACACACATTTTTAGGAATTTCATTTAGTTGAAAATCGCAATTAAAATTTATCCTTAAATTAACTTGACTATTGTTCATGCTTAAGCAATGCCAAGATAAGTTATTGTTCAATTAATCCAGCTCTATCTTGTGAATAGAAAAAATACCTATATCTAAACAATAATCAGTAGCAAGATCTATCTAAAGCGATCACTTTATTAAGTTACTTTATTTGTATGATGTATATTAAATAGTCAGCTGTCAATTGACAATATATTGGCAGGAATCCATCAATTATACAATAATTAAAAGATAGAGTGCTATTGCCGTCTCCTCTTCGTCGAAATCAATTCTTAATAAGATTATCAAATAAGCATTCTCAATTCATTAATGATGTATAACCATTATGAACAAAATGATCTTATATTTTCAGGACTGATCTTCATTTTTATTGCCCTTACAATAAGTTAATTTTCTATTAAGAATCATTTAATTAAAAGAACAAAACTCCTCGTCAAGATGATCCTGTTCTGATATTGGGTTTTCTGATTTTATTAGCAAGATTCATTAGACTAATATTATTGGTAATGTGATGTCCTTAAAGCTAAATATCTCAATTTGACATAAAAGATCCTTTAGACCTCAATTTTCTAATATTGTATATTTTTTATCTATTATAGGGCTTGATATAAATCTTGACAGTCAATAATGATTCATTATATGCAATGCAGAAACGATAATTGTTTAGTTTATTTGTTAAATGGATAGAGTTACTTTTAAATTAATCTAATAAATCTCAAAATAGATGACACTTCTACTCTCAAAGGATTTATTTTTTCTCGATAATATTTGTCAATATTTAGTTCAATTCCACATTTAAATTGCACAAACCTACAAAATCAACTATAGTTATGGATACATATAACCATATCATATATGATAAGGATGATTCTACTGAAATGCAAATTAATCTTACCGCATTTATAAGTATCTGAATTAAATTACCGATCACAATGACTCTTAGTATATCAAAGTATTTCCACAGTATCTATTAATTAATTTTGTTATTGTGATCAATAAAATCCAATATAAGTTTCAGATCTCCATACACAAATAAAATTACATAACTCCCCCTAACACCCGCTTTAATTTGTAATTATATGCTTAACTGAATTCTTCTCCAAAATATCACCAAACAAACTGAATTCTAATGATTAAGAGTAGTCTTCTTCGTGTTTAATTAGAAGCTACCTTGATAGAATACCAAATTCTAGTTTAATAATTCTTAAACAATTATAATTCTAGGTAAGCATTTCATAAACCTTATTTTAGTAATTGAACGTGCTATTGTTCATTAACTTTTTGCGTAATGGAGTAATCTTCACGATGAAGAATGAGGATATATAAAATTATATATATCAAGTTGTGTAAAAATAGTGAAAACGAGTTCTTTATTTCATATTGTTAAGAATTCGAATTAATGCATACGTAAAAGGATTATAATAATTAATTGAAACTGTTTAAAATTGGAAGAAAAAATGAGTGAATTTAGACAGGTTTATCATAATCAAAGTTTACATTAAAATTTGAATAATCAATGTATCGATGATATTTATTCAATTTGTTTTTCTAAACTCTCTATAGTTATTCATCTATCATTTATTCACATTAGTTGGTTTCAAATACATAAATTCCATTTTTATAAAAAAACGCCTTATACTATAGAGCAGTTTTTCTCAAGACGATTTTAGAAGAACAATAATTTTAGTATTCTGAACATCTTTAATTTTGATTACTTTAAAGAGAAACTAGTAAAAGGAACAGATATTGATTTTCTAGTAATTCTTAATTCTTAAAATTACATATATCGACCTTAAATATTCACTAATTTATTTGATTAATTTCTGATATATTTATAGATCAATTTTATTTATTTACATTTCTAAAACTTGGTTGATGTTAACTAAAAATTGATGAATAAATTCTAAATTAAAAGGTAGTAATGGATTGTATCTTTGAAAGAAAAATTTTAGAGCTTGAGATTTTGGTCGAAATTAATCTTGTAATTGAACTTTACCATCTGAAAAAGATAAGTTCAGAAGCTAGGTATGCTCATGAATACACAATTATCATGTATAATGCGTTAAAAAACAGAAATTAATATAGCAGAAATTTTTGCCACAATATTTCTCTCTATTTAGTATTTTTTTTTATAAAAATTCATATATGTTATTAGCTACCATTGAGTTGACATATAAGGAATATCTTTCCATTCACCTAAGTTGATTATAATTAGAAAGCATTAATTTGTTTTATTTTAAACCAGCTGCTAAATTCGCCAAATGATATCAAAAAGCCCAAAATTTAGTTAGATTTAGCACTTGACTGTAAACTCAAACGATTCTTTAAAACCTAATTAAACTTTAGGCTAAGGTTGTTTGAAATAAGGAATTTCTTTTTAGAAACCTTGTTCTTACAAAATTTTGATAACTCTTAAATAAGCCATAATTAAGCCTAAGATATTATATGAACAAAGAGATTTTTATAAATTAATATGACTAGGTTCTGGCTAGAATTTTAAATAAACCTATTCTTATTTCCAAAGGAGTAAATTCATTTGAAGGTGTCGATCTTTTGACCTAAATTAATTTATCTTAATAAAACTGCTTAGGACCAATCTGGAAGTTTTTCCGAGATCCTGAGCTTTAATCGAAAGGGGCTTTTACTTAATCTTCATGCATAGTATGATAGGAAGTTTAGTTAAAAGTATATCAGCTCATCTTGCACATCTACACCTTATAAATGTTTACCATAGAAACTTGAATAATTTCAATAAAAGTAGACTAAGTTGGCAAGAGCATAAATCAGTATTTATTTATTCGAAGGGGAATTTTCAAGTTATCTTTAATTCTAAAGCCATAGCTTAAACGCTTCATCTTAAAAATGTTGTAAGTTTCTGATCCACTGTATGTATTTTTTATAGCTCATGCTTAATACTCTTAACCATGTGAGGGTAGTAATATTAGACCAGAGGTAGTTGTCCAAAATTGTCAACATAACTTACATATAATGTAGTCTAAATTAAACTAACTAAAATTGCACTAATTTGGGGTTAAGAAGGAGAATAATTACTAACACAACTTTAGATGATATTCTTTATCAGAGAACCAAGATTACAATTTATATATTTTGCATACATTATTTGAGCTTATCGATGAAAAATCTTATGATTCAACTTCATCGCCAATTTAGCAAACAATAAGATTGTTAATATTAAAGAATAATTGAGGTATTCACAGAAAATATTTTTTCTGAATTTTATCCTTTACACTACAATATTAAATTAAAATGAAAATTAATAATGTTTCAGAGTAGGAAAGTGTTTATTAAATTAAAATTAAATGATTTTGCTCAAAGTGTTTAAGCATTTGAAAAATTATTTAACTTTTAATGTTATTTATAAATTGAGCTAACATTTACCTAATTTTTGTTTAAGAGCCTCACTCTTCAAATAAGGTTATTTCTTTTAAAAAGGAAACCAATAATTCGATCACAATAATGTTAAATCCTTGGATTTCTGATATGTTCCATTCAAATTACTTAATTAAGCAATTTCATTAACTTAAGAAATAATTGAGGATTATCATTCTCTAATTATTATTTCTATTCTTTTGTTTCCTAAGCTTCTATTTTCTGATACTATATTTTAGGAGCACTTTATTTTTGTAAAAATTTCTTACAAATGAGAATTTTCATAATAATTTAATTTAATAAATGTATTTTACAGTTATATAAGCATATTGAATTCTCCTGGCTGCTTCAATTTAAATATCACAGATATATAACTAAAATTAGAGATTGGGGATAATTCAGAGCTTTAAGCTCAGGTTTTTTGAGAAGATTGAATTTAGATCAAACCTTTAATATTATCTGAGTTCTATTATTAGCAATAAATTTATAACAAACAATTAATAGTTGTTTCATTTACTTCAATACCAAGTAGCAGTAGTTTAAGTTGATATCTTTTGTTTTTAAATTTGTTTATTCTTCATAGTTCATGGTATCTTGTTGTTTGACTAATGCCGATTTCTATTAATAATTATCATCAACTTACAAAAATGAAGCGAAGCATAAACAGAAAAATAGTCTTTTAAAACTGAATCTTAAAATATAATATCCTTGCAACCTTAGGTCATTCATCTTCTTATTCACATGTAATCAATTTGATGATTCTACTAAGATTGCTATATTTAGAAAGTTCCCCTAAAATAATAAATTTATTAAATTAAATTTCCTTAAAAATTTAGAAATAAATTCGACTCAATTTGCTAATTTGCTAATTTAGTCAGTCTTTTTTAAGCTAAATTTCTTAAATTCACAGAAAAGAATGTATAGCGTATTAAGTTATGTGATCTTTAAATTTTATTTCATCATTAAAATATAATATCTCCAACCAAACATAAAATTATCAAAGCTTCTAATTTTTTATATATTATGGTAAAAATATTATCAACTATATTGAAAAAATTTTTAAGCCTTTAAGTTTATTCTTATGTATATCCTTTTATTAACAAAATCATCTCAATCTTATAATTTATTAATTATTGCTCTGTATATATTGATAGACCTATTACTATAAAAGAAATTAGTTGAGTATAATAATGAAGAACATTATTGTCAATTTCGACATAATATAATTTTTATTGAAAAAAACATTAAATGTTACAAACACTTTCAACTGAGTTAAACAATATGCAAACCAAAAGCAAATAATAAAATCAGAGAATCGAAAATTTAGATAATAGTTTTTAAGAAACCTATCAACTATCAAATAATTTGAATAATTCACCTTCAATTAAGCATAATATGCTATAGTGGGTTAGACCAGAAGTTTTCAATTATATATTAATATTTTTAGATATTAAATAAATTTTACAATTCAGATTGTTAAGCATTAAGGCAAATGAAACTGTAAAATTAATGCTTCCAATATAAATACATAATTTTTAAAAATTGATAGCCGAATAACAAGATGAAATATAATCCAAGATCCAAAATGTATAAGAAGCAAGCATCGATCAAAATTAACAACAAGGTTTGAAAGCAGCCTTAAATGGAATATCAGGAATACCTAGAATTCATTTTGTTGAGCTGAAAAGTTATGTTAAACCGCCTGAAATAATTGAGTAGATTATAACTCTAGTATTTTTGGCAATAGATCCAACTTTTAGGACATAAAAAGATAATTGGAAGGAATGCAAAAGTGCCTAAGTTAATCAAATTTAAAAGAATAAATTATAATTTAGATTTTGTAGATTAAGGGAAAAACACTTATAATAACTAGAATAGGTGAATAGTAAAACAGAAGAATAAGTAGCTTCGAAGTCTGTAGTTGCTAGTGCTCTACTCATTTTTTTGAAAGCCGTAGTTTAATTAAGCTAGTAAAATCTGTACAGAACATATATTGAGATAGAAGAATTACAGAAAAAAATAAAGAAAGAGCAAAAATTAATTGAAAGCTTAGGAAAGATAAATAATAAATGAGAATAGGTTTAGTATACGGAAACAAAAAAAACTATTTTTACTTAACATTAATTCAACTTGTTTCTATTCTTTAATCTCTCATTTTTATAAGATAATGATATTATTGTCATTAAGTAACTTTTTAAATTCTATTAATTCTGACATTCCTATAATATTTACTTCTAAACTCTTTTGTTAAATTGCGACAAGTGACTTTTCAATTTCCTGCTCTTTTCTTCAGGTTATGTGTTTCTTCTTAGGCATCAGTTAATTTCAACATCATCTAATTTCCTTTTAACTTGATTCATCAGAATCATTTCAATTTGATACTAATTATTATTAATTTAGGATTTTCAACTATCCATTCTAGTATTTAATAAGTTTTTAATCAACTTAATGATATTTAAAATTATTAAAATATACTCATTAAAGTATTGAGGTATAGATATAGATCATTTTAATTTTATTAACAACCAGATTTAATTATATTTATAGAATTTAAATGAATATTTTTGTTTGATTATCAAAATAAATTTTTTTTTAATTTCAATAAATGTTAGTTCTAGTTAAAAAATCCTGATTCACATAACTCAAATAAATAATTATTAAATTTTTAAAAATAACTTGAATATTAAACTAATTTAACATTTATACTCTCCATTAAAAGAAATCAATAGAAAAGGATTAAGAATTAATTTAACTTTTACTACTTATCGCGTTATAATGCCTAATTCGTATATCAACTCAACAATAGATTTTAAAATCAATTATTAATTAATGCATAAATTCAAGAGCTGGTCAATGAAGACCATTGTTAAACTAATAGATTAAATAGCTATTTAGAATCACTATCCTCAAATTATTCCTCTTAATTTATTGTTATTTACCTAAGACCAGTTTTTTTTAAAGGAGTACTCTAGTTAACTTAAATGATATATTGTTTATCTAATAACAAGAGTAATATCAAAATTTTTAAGCGAATGAATACTTTGCTTGGATATATGATTCAAATTTGAGGATGATTGATATTGTGTGAAAACTGGCAAATTTTAAGTTCACCTTATCATTAGGTAACGAACCCTATAAAGACTTTGAGCCAATGTACTTAGCAAGTATAAATTGAATGAATAGCTTAATAAATTGTAATAATAATTTTAATAGAAATAGAGAAATGTAAGTTAGTTGTACTCAAGCTGATCATCGAGATCAATAAATAATATGGATTTGCTTAGATATTACATGCCAAAATTAGAGACCCTATTGTAATTCTTGCATCCCTTTCCATGGCAAACATCTTCAAATGTTAACCTCTTTGGATCACGTAAATGAAGGATTTAACAGCGAATGATTACCGTTAAAAATGTCTATGATTATGCGTAAGAGCTCAAACTTTCTGGTGATAACCTTCTAAATTAGATCTTTGTGATGTTAAATACAAGATTGTGAAAATGTTATTTGTAAAACTTAAACAATCAATTGAATAAATATGATCGATTATATGAGAATAAAAGAACAAGAATAAATCAAATTTGAACAATACTTATATTACTTAAATTTCGGAAAGCAATGATTAAATGATTTTAGAATAACCAAAGCCTCAAGATAATTTAAAACCAATCAAATTTGAACTCCTGAATAAAAATTTCATTAAATAAATAGATGATTGTTTGGCAGTTTCTTTTAATGCAGATTATTCGATTGTGGCAGCTGGATGTCATAGATTAATAAAAATATATGAATTCAGACAAGGAATTTTGAAAGAGATACAAATCTTAAATCAACGTAATAGTGGAGTGAGCACTTTATATTTCATGAGAAAATCCAATTAGTTTATATCTGGAGATATGAAAGGATCTATTTTTCTTTGGGCAAGGAATCATGTTAATTAATGGACTTGTTCATACAGAGATAATCAGCACAATGTAAACATAAATTATTTAATTATGAATAATAATGAAGACACTATGATATCAAGTAGTGATTACAAAACTAAATACTAAACAAAACAAATGGGTCTGTGAAAAACAATAACTGATCCTAAAAATTGGGTTTTTTAATTAAGTTTAAATGAAAAATAGAATAAAGTTATTTCTTGTGGATGGGTAAATTAATATTAATAATTGAATATTTGGAGTAGAATAAAAAGTGGATTGTAATATAAAATATCGAGGTTGATTTTTTAGGCTAGCGATTGTGCTTTATCAACGATAATCTTTTCACATTTTAACCCAGCGATGGCAATTTGATGTATGTTTATGAGATGAATAGTGTAAGTAGTGAGTTCATGAAAACTAACATATTGATGTAAATCAAGGTAATGATAGTTTTATATTTTTCCCATCGTAATATATTAAATCAATATAGTTACTTGTGAGTAAGCATGAAAATTATATCAATTTAATAAGAAGGATAGATAATGATAAATTTTAAATTGAGTAATCTATTTAATTTGATAGTAAAGATTTATATGGGTAAATAAGCCATGATGGATGGTATTTGATCACTTGGGATAACATATCTAAAGAAATATAAATTAGGAGATGCATATTATATATGAAATTTTAGAAGTGATTTTATATTTTTTCAAGTAAATTTATCCGATAAACCTTATCAATTCATCTTCACTTCCAGTATCCTTCTCACCATGGTGCATAAATTTTATTTAAAGACTTCTAAAATCAGGTATAGTACCCTCCCGACTACATTCTTCAAACCTACTAAATTACCCTGATTATCACAAAAATCCATAGGACTCAACAAAATGGAATATTATGAGCAAATCAGGATTAGGAATCAAAGAAGGAAGGAGTCGAAATAGCTTTCCCATTTTACAAAGATTTCTTTCTAAGCCACATCCAACATTTTGGGCAGAGGATCGAGGATGGCAAATTAAGTGAGTAATTCTTGAAACCTTTAAGTTTGCTTTAATACTGACTCACTCATAAGTGATGTGAGGAAAAGCTTATCTCTCCTTATGTTGTGGCAATGATTGACTGAGAAATATATGAAAATCTGATGCTCTTGTATCGTGTTAGTAAAAATAAAATAAATGAAGTCTTTTAAAAACCTAAATTTAGATATAATTCTTTGAATTTTCTGAGGTATTGCATTTAATCAAATAGACACATGATCCTTCAATAAATGTAGCTTCTAATTGCAAGGCACTTATGCTATAAATTAAAAAAAATGTCGTTCTTTTTCATTCATACTCGTATATACCTCCAATAAAATAATGCAAAGCTTTCCTTTTTTAAAACTTAAACAAATCTTGAATAAAAAAAATAGAAATATATTATGTTTATGTGCAATAATTATGAATCTAAATAAAATAACAATTCTATTACTTTAGGTCCTGGAAATTCTAATCCTTATATAACAGTAGGAGCTAAGTGTAGATATTTTATTTATCGAAATTCAATATGTAATTAATACTCCAATTATTTAAGTGATAGATTAAATTATGGAACGATAAAGATTAAAAATTCATGAAAAGAGCTTAGTTCAATTATTTTTTACTTTTAATTAGGTTTCACGTTCTTACTTGACACTGTTATTATTGAATGCTCTGTTTGATTTAACCTTTGAAATTGAACCATTAGTTTTTAATTACAAGAGTTTTTTTTGAAAATAATTATTTAAGCAAAATGTAGATGATGTATTATATAAATAAGGTTATTGATAACTTTACAATATTAAAGGTAGATCTATTAGGAAAAAAGGTAAATTAAAATTTGCATTAATCAGTGGATATTTTGCGTTGTAAAATAGAGCGATTTTAGTTCTAACAGTTGAAAGAAATTTTCATCTACATAGTTATTAATTTAAATAAATAGACTTATTTCCAGATTTTACTATTCATAGACTAATAATAAAATTATAAGATATGAATATATTAATTGAATATTAAATTATCATATATTTATCCTTTAGTTATCTAAGGCTTTTTTTTAACGCATGAACATTCCAGCCCGTAATTTATGATGTTTTAATTCTTAATGTGGACCCCATTTATCCTTTCAATTATTTTAACAATCGTACTTTTGCCTTAATATCGACCTTTATATTAGCTTTTTGGGTATTTTTTTATTTCAATTCTAATTTATTTGAAAATTCGTCAGGCAGAGAATTATAAATGTTGGCAAATTAATTATCTTAAATTA